ACTGTTCTTACCTATACTGTAGCTCAGACATGCATTTTGACAGCTGAACCATGTTGTAATATTTTGTTGATAATATTAATTATGCGTACGTAATGTACAAATATACTTCCTACAGAAATAATTTCTTAATAAAAATATCACTGCATATTTATATGATAATTTCGATGTTGTCAAGAGTACCCTTGTGGCATCTTCACCACTTGTCATGACACCATGCCTGAGCGCGCGAAATGTCAGCTCAGTGATTCATAAACTTTAATCGCGAATAATTTGATAACTATTATATCTTCGACATTTTTTCATATTAGAATCCACTCTTAATATGAAATAGTTTGACACTGTGTATTTTAACGGTGGTTTTGACACTCTGTATTTTAATCACCCCAGGCGGATATCTCAGAAACTAAGAAAGATACAGGAAAAAGTTTTATATAAAAGTTGTAGGTTTTTTGGGGGGAAAGAAGGTAAAAATAACAGATTATGTATATGGGGCATTACCAAGGTCAGATCAAGGTCAAATCGATTTTTTTTTAATGGAACACCCTATTTTTTTATGCCAGAATTCAATAGTTGGTATCAAGAGCTTTTCAAAACACTATAATAAAATTATTTTTCATTAAGTACTTTTCGAGTTATAAGGCTTGAAGGTTACAGTATGCGGGGCAGAGCGACACTTTTTTCTGCCGGATTCGTTCATTTCGTGCAAAAATACGTCGAATGAGCCTAATTTCATTAAAATCGGAGGAAGCTCGTCTCCTTCATAATTACTAAAAATTGCTTTACCAACAAAATCAGTACTTTATAAACAAATTCTCTGATGTAAAACACAAATTCAGTGCTTCAAAACAAATTTTGTGTTTTAGGACAGAGAATTTCTTTTTAAAGTACTGATTCTTTGTATTTGTAGATCAGAAAATTTGTTTTAGAACAAAGAATATGTTTTTGAAGCACTGATTTTGTGTTTGTAGCAGACAATTTGTGTAATTAAAGCAGAGAATTATTGTTAGGAATCAATTGATATTGAACATGTGACCACAGTGCATGCTCGCATCGCAGTATTTCATGGTTGCGACAGATTTCCTAACCTAAATAGTCGTCAACTTTAATGCTTAATATCTCGGTTCGCGAGGCAGAACGACGCTATTTTCTGCCAGATTCTTTTGTTTCATGCAAAAACACATCGGTTAGGTGTATTTTTTTAATCAAAATTTGAGGTAACCGGGGTCTTTTTAACATTTATTATTTTATCAATTCGGCCGCCATTTTGGATCCGCCATGATGGATTTAAAAAATCACCGTGGGATCTTAAAGTACAACTATTTTGACGAACGATGGTGTATTTGCCGAAAATTAGAAAAATTGTTACCAGAAAACAATTTTTAAAGAAAAAAAGTCAACCATTTTTTCGTCATTTTTTTTGTTCCGTCATATTTAATTTCCACATAGTCAAAATGAAATTCTGATGATGCCATTGTAAAGAGTTATCCTAAAAACCTTAGGATACCAAGTTTCGTTGAAATATTTCATGTGTGTTAAAAATTATCTTGAAATCAAGCAAAAAATTTTGTCCTGCGCGTTAATAGGTAAGATACATTGCTATACAAATAATCGAGCGTTATTATACTTATTTGTTATAAAATAGGAATGTGACTGTAGTAGCATTTTGTCTAAAAAATCACTTATACTAGGAACGTTGTACTATACTTAGTGCCATATAATATCAAAGAATTATCATGTTTATACAGAAATTCATGTATGACATGTGATATATGACATGATGTGACACGCGTGCATATACATATAAATGAATGTGTATAAGCATATGTGGTAGATACATATGCCGTACTAGCTAGAACTGGTAAAAGTCAATAATAATCTGTGATAAGATTATGATATTTCGAGCTCGGGCATGCAAGAGTTTTTCTTTTTCTTTCCTCACACAAAGATGCTTTGTCTATCGGTGTAATGATTAGTTGTCAAAGTGTCTTTGTATGTGTAAAGGAAAGGAAAAAAAAACATTTATGCGCTTGGGCTTGAAATCCCATCACTATCAAAAGTATGTATTTCGTATGCATACCAGTGTGAGCATAAGAGACAGGTACTTTCCAAATGCTGACGTGGCTGAAGACAGTTGCCAGAAACTTGCCCAGAGCTAGAGGTACGATGAGCCGCAAGTAGTAGCTCCATGTTATGTTAGACGAATATTTCCTTACACCCCACAAATTGAAGAATAGACTGGAATACACGGTGATCGAGGTTAATTGGACCATGGTCACCGTCAGCGGATATGGAAATTTTGATAGCAGCATCTTGTCGATGACATTGCTGCTGCTGGATACCGCATACCACAATAAACATAGAAACAATATTGTTATAACCACGCGATTATTTCGTCTATCGTCCATGACGTTTCGCGCGGGAGCGCGGTCGAAACTCACGCCTAATGCGCCTAATCCTCTAAATTGGTCTTTTTAAGTTTTCACATATATGCGGTATATACATATATGCAACGCACATCGTAATTAACGCGGATTCAAGCGGAGCGGAGAACACAGACTCTGGCTACTTTCCTTTTAGGAGATACAATCGGCACGAGTCGACACAAGTGTCGTTCTATCTTTGTCACTCTCTGAATGTCAAGAAGGATAGAACGCTGCTTGCGTCGACTTGTGTCGATTTGTGTCATCAAAGCAGTGTACGTTTACACGGTCACCTTTATAGCCCGTCTACAATATACATAGTAAGCTTGGTATAAGATGTAAGAGTAAGAAATTGACCAATCATAGTCGAATATGAGAAGAATAATCGACTGTGATTGGTCAATTTCTTACTCTCGCTTCATAAACCAAGCTTACTATATGTATTGTAGACGGGCCATAAGTAAGCAAATCGGCCAATCACAGTCGAGCGTTTTAAAACCCGAGATCGTAATTTTGATTGTGATTGGCTGATTTGCTTGCGATCTTACGATTACGACTAAAATTTTTGTATATACGTGTGATGGCCTTAAGGCGTCGTCTACAATATGCGAAGTAAGTTTGGTTTAAGAAGTAAGAGCAAAGCTGGAATCAGACTACACATTGAAGATTGAGATTGAAGAGTGAAGATTAAAATTTGACCAATGAGGGCGAAGGGATTTTAGCTTCTATTGTTTTGATTGGTCAAATTTCAATCTTTCAATCTTCAATCTAAATCTTTAATGCATAGTCTGTTCCGGCTTAACACGATGAATCGTTGCATCCTTGTTGTTCGCCAATGTTAAACAAGGATGAGATGATTGCTGTGTTGCAGTGTCGCTTGTTGGAAAGCTCCCATTATTAGACATTTGCTGATATTGCAAGAATGGGTGGATGTTGCGCTGAATTTTGCAATAATTCATCCACAGAAGGATATATAATGAAAATATTTCCAAGAGATCGTGAACGTCGTGTGATATGGGCGAAAAATGTCCGTAAAGATTGGATGCCTACGGATAATTCATATCTTTGTGAGGTTAAGTATTATGTTCTTAATAAAGTCAAGCAAAATTACGAATGTATTATTAATTTTATTAAAGAAGATAATATTTAATTTCTCTGACATGGTTTTTTTTAATTGTGTTATTAAAATATAATACGTTTATATTAATGATAAGGTTAGTACGTTTCAAATATGACCAGGAGTTGACGAAAATTCTAGACCAATCAAAAGAGGCCCTCTGATTAAAGCCTGATTTATAATGGCCATAACCGTTAACTTATGCCGGTAAAGTTCAACCATACGATTTCAATGGCTGCATTCAGCGGACTCAACAGTTAAGTGAGCGTTCGCTGCTATTGACGTATTCTTCTAGATCTAAAATTATGATTGGATGATCTAAAAGAATACACCAATAACAGCGAGCGCTCACTCAACTGTTGAGTCCGCTGAATGCACCCATTGCTTTCGTTCATACTAATTTGCCGTATTAGTATGAATGAAAGCATTGAAATCCTATGGTTGAACTTTACCGGCACCGGCATAAGTTAATGGTTACGGCCATTATAAATCAGGCTTAAAGGGTCTTTAGTAGTCTTAGGGCGGAATCCATAGACAGTGCTCAAGATTCGAGATGGTCTTAGCTAGTGCATGAACCAATCAGAGAGCTAATAACTTCTTAAGACATTGCTTGAGATTAAGATCAGACTATACATTGAAGATTGAAATTGAAAAATTCAAATTTAACCAATCGAAATGAAAGGAGCTAAAATTTCTTTGTCCTTATTGGTCAAATTTCAATTTTCAACCTCAATTTTCAATGCGTAGTCTGATTCCGGCCTTAGAGGGTTTTAAGTCGTAGAAAATTAACCTCGAATATGAGAATAATCGACTATGATTGGTCAATTTTCTATGACTTAAGACCACTATTGTAGACCCTGCATAAGAATATAATCAGAAATAAGGGGATGCAGGTCATTTTATAAGTCATACGGTTACTTGTGTCAAAATGTCTGTTATTTGATCAAATTATAAGTTAATTTAGAATATTGAAGTTTAAATAAAAAATTTAACAAAAAAGAAATATTGTTCATCTTGGAGGAAATTCTTGTGCCAGCACATATAATAAAAGATAAAAAAAATTAATCGCTTAAAAAAGATGTGAATTCAATTTAATTAGTCAAATAGCTGACAAATATAATTTTTAAAAAAATTTACGAAAATATATTATAAATATTTAATTACTAATAAAATTTCATTTTATTCTTTTGTGATTCTATTGTGATTTCACACAAATAGAATAAAATTCTATCAGTAATTAAAAATTTACAGCTTTTAAAAATATTTTTAATAATTAGATTTATCAATATTTGGTTACTTGGATTGATTTTACATCATCTGGAATAGTAATTTATTTATCTTTCTGTTTTTAAAAATATTCTTTTGCGAATACAACAAACTTTTTATGTATTAACGTATCCTTTTTAAAAAAAAAAAGGATTTTTGTAGAATTATATTACATAAAAAACAATCAATGTAATAAACTTCTTCATATTTTCCTATAATAATTTGCAAGTATTTTAAATAATAATTCTAAATTTTTATTTTTAACTATTTAATAATTAACTATTTAATAATTAAATTTATGGTTCAATTCTCAATAAAAAAATATATTTTAATTGTGTTAAGAAATACCCAGTAAAGAAGAATGGATTAAAGTGGATTAAAATTTTGTCTATCCGAATGCTTGGAGTGAAGAATTGCATTTCCTATTCAAAATTTTGAATTGAAGTATGCACGAAGTATAGACAAGCTGATATTATTTTTAAATTGAAAAACATAAAAATGTGCTTCAGCCTATTCATATAAATGAATAAAAATGCATCCGGATTGAAAAGGATTCATTTCAACGTTTGCGAAAGCGTATTTCTAAAAATCCGAATTCATTTCAATCCATATTAATCTATTCTGGTTTTCTGGATACGTACATATCTGTTAACGATTTCCGTTTTTTCTCATTATGTCGATCTTTACATATACACAATATAAAACTAATAACTTTTTAAATCTTAAAATAATTATAAAAATTATCATCTTAAAGATTGCATTGGCTGCGTTCAGCAGAGGAAATTAATCAGTTAGCGCTTAGTGATTCTTTAATATAATTGGTTCTTACCTTTAGTTCTTCACTGGATCTAAGTGTAGGAACCAATTATATTGAAGAATCACTAAGCGCTGATTAGTTTTCTCTGCTGAACGCAGCCATTTCTTAAATTAAAATTAAAAAGTTCATTTACATATGTGAATATCTTCATATAATATTTCATTTAATCAATGATGATGTCCAGTTGTAATCAAAGCAGGTAAAAATATTCCTATTACTAAGAATAATATTTCTTTAACTTTAAGCCCGGTTGCAGAAAGTGTTGTACCCTCGACGCTTGGCACATGCGAATAATTACTGCTTCTTGTCATCAATTCTGGCAAAACATGTACAGTGGCTACATAAAGGAATGTTCCAGCACTAAACAACATAGCCAAACCGGTTGCATTGACATTGCTCAGCGTTTCTTTTCCTTCCTAAAGTAACACAAAAGTTATAATTAAAATTTATGATTACAAAATTAATCTTTATACAACAAGAAATGATAACGAAAAAAATTAATAACTGAAGAACATAAGAACTATATATTAAATTGAAATTCTTAAGATACATCGCGTGTGTGCGCGTATATGTGTGCACGCGCGTGTCACATACTATTAAGATACATTTTTACGAGCTGCTCAAACCGACCTTTTCAGCGACAAAAAGAATTACATGGTTAAAATTGATCATCAATTTTGATTACGCGATCCTTTATGTCATTGAAACAGCCGGTTTGAGCGGCTCGTAAAAATGTACCTTCGAAGTATAGAAAGATTTCAACAAATAATATTTATTTGACCTTGAGCGCAAGTAAACAGGGTGTCTCACAATCTCCAATAATTTCATGTCGTATTCTGAAAGTAAAATAGAATAAAAAATCCTAATACGAAAATGTCGAGGTCACAATAGTTTTTAAGTCATATAATTGATTAAAGATAGTAATATAGAAGAATCTGCGCGCTCAAGCCAATAGTTACATGCGCATCGATCAGATACTAATTACACACAGTTAATACTCATTACTACTACACAATGCATTCATATTGTCCATTTTATGATTATTCATAGCATTAGCAATTATTGTTAGAATTATTAGACCTAACAGTTTCATACTTAAAAAACAAGGTCTTTTGTGGTTTTTACATGAAAAATAATTATAAAACTTAATTTATTTTTTCTTATTTTTTATATCGTGAGTTGAGTGAAATTGTAAAATTATAACAAACCAAGAAAATAAGATTAAATCGCCCATATTTTTTAAATAGTTTAAATCTTTCTTAAAATCTTGATGTATTAAAATTATACAATTTTACTTCTTTCAGGACTTGAAAACTTAGGAAAGTTTTCATTTGTGAAGAAATAATAAGTAAACAATTTTCGTAAATCTTTTTTTTAGAAGCAAAAACAAATATCAATTTTTTGAAAAAAAGCATTAGATATAATAATTTCTTGTATGAAAATTTAATGTAGATTAGTAAAATATTTAAGTTTTTGTTAAAACAAGCAATAATTTGCACATAATGTAGAATTTATTAATAATAATCTTATCAATATTAAGGGGATCTTAAAGCCACCTGTATTTCCGATTTACTAAATCGTAATTTTCCAGGATTAAAGTATAAGCATTAATACGTATTTGTGAGGTGGAGTTTATGCCGAGAACGACCAAAAATTTCGAAATTGATATATTTTTTACCATTTCTTGTTAGTAACATGGTGTCTCAAACTGTCAAGTCGTGACAACATTTGTTTGAAAGTTTTGCAACCTGTACTTTATACAAAATAGTGATCCACAAACACGTAGTTTGCACGAACAAACAACGTCGAGTTCTTAGAATTAGTCTTAGACGCTTTATCGCGACAAATTTGTTATACGAAAATTGACACGAATGTGCGACTAAATGTATCATAGGTGCGTGAGATATTAATGTGGTAGTATATAAAGACATGTCGGTGCGCTGAAAAAACAGCGACATCTAGTGACTTTGTAGGAGCTCGAGCTTCGCTTTAGGATATATTATCTGGGGGTCTATTCTTGAAAAGAAATGTATATTTTCGTATACATTTCTTTTCAAGAAAGTCTAGGGAAATATTACAGTATATGTTACGTATACTATAGTATTTTCCTAGTTTTTCGTATAAGTTTCTTTTCAAGAATAGAGCCCCTGATACGAATACGTAATGAATATGTGACTATATACATATAATCAGCTGTCTTAAATACATAAAAAAAGAAAATATAAAGCACATATTTACGAGGAGCATTCCAAAAGTAAGTTTCCCTATCGTAAATTAAAAAAAACCAGTTATACGAATAGCTTATGCATTGTAGGGTTTTTTCTTTTGAATATGTTGGCAACATTTTTGCAGTCAGAGTTGCCTTCACTGCAGCCATTGTTAGCTGAGTAAAAGTTATTTATTAATAAATTTTTTTTATACGTATAAAAATTCAATTTCGATAATCTTGTATTTAATGTATATGTACAGACGAACAGTAAAGCATCCTAATAATTCTAATTGGTTGATCCCCACTTTATTACTTTTCCGAGATTCCGTTTTCCGAAATGTCCGATTGTCATGGGACAGCACCCTAACACTTCCTTACTTTAGAAAAGATGGTGGACGGAAATAAGAATGAATTCAAAATTTATGAGTCTTCTTAAAGAACAGACTTAACCCTTGAGAATGAAAAAAAAAACTTTTAAGTACGTCCCCATTTTTCACAGAGTTAACTTATTTGAAGTTATACAAAATTTTGGTATAAATTGTTGTGATAATTTTGTTGACGAGTGTATTTTGGCACATATAACATTTAATAACATCAGATCACTGTATTAATCTTTATACAAAACTAAACAAAATTGTATGATTGTCAATATATATCCCATTTATAGGTCCTGCAATGCTTGCTGTACCCTGTGTGCAAGAACCATTATTTTTCATCATAGTCTCCTTTAGAAACTCGCTTTCAAAAAATATTTTATTAGTGTTCATTAAAACACGGGTAAAATTTCTCATAATGCCGCACGTTTTATTCTATCTTGGTTTTCAAATACGAGAAACTGAACTTCACCACGTCCGTCTGGTGGCGATCCCGTACTGCTTACGACTAAGTGATGAAAAATATTAAAATAACGGAAAGATATCTTTTTCATGTTGTCTTATCAATAATAAGAGAAGATATCTTTTAGTTAATTTTTCGCTTTGCCGAAGAGATATCCATAGAAAGATATCTTTTTTAAGTTGTCTTTTCGATGAACTAAAAACCATCTTATGGACATCTTTTCATCCTGTCAAAGAGATAACCTAAAAACGATATCTTTTCATAACTTTTTTTTAGACATCTTTTCGCTTTGTCGAACAACTGAAAAAGATATCTTTTCGTTATCTTTTAGTATTTTGTGTCTGGGAGAATTTACAAGAAATCCATTAAGTTGAGACATCAGGTCTATTCTTTTTAACTAAAGTTCTTGCACGATTCAACTTTTTTTCTTTTCGCTCTACACTGGAAAAAAAAAGAGAAAAGATGAACTGTCAAAAAAGTTCAGTTAAAAAGAATAGGTCTATAGTTAAGTAAACACGTACCTGATGAATCTTTTAAATCCATTTTTTTTCAATACAAAACCTCATAAAAATATTTTATTCTATATTTTAGACTTATTTTTTAATGTGGATTCCCTTCCCGGTTGTACCATCAATTTACGAATACCCTATTTTTATAATATTAAAAATAAAAATAAAAGTAAATAAAAATAAAATGTAATATAATTTAAAACTAATGCCCTGAAATATTGAAATTTAGTAAAAGCAAAATAAAAAGTTTTAGTGACAATAGTAATAATAGTCCAGTTCAGTGACAAAAACACTATAATATGCACAAAATATATGAAACTAATTAATGTTCTTATACAGAGGCAAGATCATTTAATACACTAATAATATTTATACTTAACAACAAATAACATATTTACCCCATAACTATATTAAGAGAAGTATTAAAAAAATATTCTCAAAAATTTTTTCTTATCATTAATGAAACTCTAAATATATTTGACTCTCTTTTCAACAAATATTAAACGCATTACAATTATAAATATTAAAAATCATTCGTTTATCTATAATTTTATTTATCACATACAAAAACTTGCTTAAAAGAAAAAACATAACATAACAATAGAAAAATAAATAAATTTCTTAAAATAAAAATTTATTATAAAAGAAAAATTATATCATGTAATAAAGCTTTTATTCTTATGAAAACTGCATATATTTGAATTAAGTTTAAACAAGAATAATTCTTTCATTAATCTTGTTTAAAGTATCAATATTGTTATCCTACTACATAAACAAAATCCTGTGATTTTACAATCTACATTAACTGAATCATAACTTTATCTAAAAATTTATTTTAGACTTCGTTTACTAACATAAAAAATAAGCCAGAAAAAATTAACTAATGTTCGAATGCTTGCTCAGTGGTTGTTCAATTACACAATTTATCGTATTAATAAATATTATCACAATTTATCATATTTCGAATACTATTTTCAATGTTAGGATACATATACATAGGGTTTGAAAACCTATTATAGAAACGCTTACATTTTGCATTACTCACCTTTCCAATTCCGAAATATGTCATAAGTGCAAGACATGGTGCCGCAAGAGAAAAAATTAATAAATGTCTGCTTATCCTTTTTTTATCTACGCCTTCATGAAGAAGAAATGATACAAGTCCAAATGCAGCTGGTGCCTAAAAGAAAATTTAAAATTTTTTAATAACTGACGACAAAAGGACACAATTACATTAATATTACATTTTCTATTATATTAAGTTCTTATTAACTGTCAATTGTTATAAGATTGTATGATTAAAAATTTTACTTTGTGCAACATTATTGCCAAAAAAACTATCATTTCAACATCAGTTTGAGATGTAGTAGCAGCAGCTCCTAATGCAACTCCATCAACTGCTGCATGTACTACAAGACCTAAAGTTGCTGTAACACTTTTTTGTCTTCCATCACTTTTTTTTGCTGAACATTGATCAATCAAAAGCATAAATACAAAACCAAGCACTAAACTAATTCCAATTAAAGAATGTAAATCACCTGTAAGAACAGAATTATCTAAAAATATCAATTTAAATATATAAAAATACAATTATATAAACTATTTTAAGAAAATAATAATAAATATAATAAATTACATACCATGTAATTGTTTTTCATTAGTAATTTCGCCAGTAAATAAAGCTCTTATACCTTCAGGTATAATCACTGCTAATGCAGTTCCAACAAGAAGACCTGCTCCTAATACCGATACTAATTGTAATTTATCCTATAGAAAATAAATATGTATACTACATAACCATATGGCATGTTTTGATATATTTAAAAATCGAATATGCAGAATACAAAAATCATTTATTATAAAAAATTATCTTACTTCAGACAAACTCATGACTAATGGTAATGATCCAGCCAAACATGAGCCAACCAGCATAACAAGAGTAAGTATCCATAACATTGCTCCCTTTTCCATTATTTTCTCTTAATAACGAAAGGAACTATTAATTCCCAATATTACATTATTAATTAATTAAACACGTATGTAAAGCAATAAGAATGGTTAACTGCATGTTAAACATAAATCATAAACTTTCTCTTCAACTGATCTATTCCACTTATATATCATATGTATATATGTAACAGTTTTATAGTAAATAAAAATATACATATAAAACAACATCAATGACTTCTTCTCTCTCTCTCTGTTCTGACTTCTGTTTCCAAACAGACACAATTCAATAATTTCAATGATTGATACACGTGAGCATTATTAAAACCATAACATACAATTACTAGAAAGGAGACATAAGAAAAGATATGAAACCTGAAGACTAGAGACCCTATAATGGGTGTATTCCGAACGGGTTAGCTTAGCATATTTTTTCCCCTAGATGATGGCAATTCCGTGACTAAGGGTGAAATCACACGGTGCGGAAAAAGACTGCGGAATAGAGAATGCGTCATTGAAGCAACCAATCAACGCTATTC